AGAAGCAGCGATGCCAAAGATGGAGGCAGAGACTATGACGTGGAGAGATGGAGGGACTGGGGACTCTAGACCCAGAGAGTGAGAGGGGCTGTGTGCTGAACACCAGGGAGCAGGCTTGCAGGATATACCCTTTGGTTGGTTGATGATGCATAGAGGGGATTGTAACTATGGCAAGAAAATGATACACAATAGGATGAATGTGAAGCTAATGTTCTCCCATGTAAACCATTACATAATTCACAATAAAGCATTAAAAAAAAAAAAAAACTCACCTTGCAGTCTAATGCATTAATCCACAGCACCACACCAAGAATCCTTCAATATTGAAACATGAAGCTTGAATTTTTTATTCAATTCTTTCTGCTTCAGAATGCTGAGCATGTTCTTTTTTGGCTTTCTAAATCCAGGCCTGTTCACATTTTGTTATAATACTTGACTTTATCTTCTTGAGCTGCCTTTTGAAATTTTCACTTAAACTCCTTTACTTTATTTCTTCCGTTAGTTGTACAAACTCTACATTCAAGACACAGCAAGTTTCAGAGTTTCTTCTGACATCATTTTGGTCTTTTCTTTCTTTCTTGTCTTTCAAATGTATGACATTCTTGATGTCATCACACAACTCCTCTAGTCTTTGGTCCTTACTTTTCAAGGCATCATATCTATCCTTGAAATGATCTCTAAATTCAGATGAAATATACTCAAGGTCATATTTTGGCTCTTATACACTTGTTTAATTTTCTTCAGCTTCAGACTGAACTAGAGTATGAGCAATTGATGGGTCTGTTCTACAGTCAGCCCCTGACCTTGTTTTACTGATCTTATAGTACTTCTTCATCATGTCTTCCCACATGTGTAACATGCCCATTCCATCTGGCAGGGTCCACATGTATAGTCACTGTTTATGTTGCTGAAAAAAAAAATCATTGCAAAAAAATATTTTGCAATTAAAGTGGTATTCAGTTAACAATACAATTATTTCATCTAAGATGCATCAGACAACTGAAGATAAAAATGAAAAATTACCATCCCCATATATATCTAATTTGTGCTAGAACCTTCTTTAAGTTACCATGGCAATCTACAGCCCTCATACTTTATCAGGCAAGATTAGTGGTTATTAAAAATACCACCAGGACAGAGCTAGCACATTCAGTAGTATGTTAACTATACTTAAAAAAAAGACACTGTATAGTTAAAAAGCAAATCTTACACAGTCTTACATTTCCATTTTTTTTTTTTTCTTTAAAAGAAGTGAGTTGTGTGCAGGAGGGTTAAATGCTTTACAGACAAGAAAAAAAGAACTTCACAAGAACCAATTTAGTCATCATCATCTTCATCCTCTTTGTCCTCCTCCTCCTCTTCATATTCCTCATCTTCTTCCTTCTTTTTCTTGCTTTTCTCAGCCTTGACAACTCCCTTTTGGGCTGCATCTGGCTTCTCTTTAGTCTAGTAGGCAGTGCTATCCTTTCATATTTCTTCTTCAGCTCAGTGGCCCTCTTCTCTTGTGGCTGCTTGTCATCTGCAGCAGTGTTATTCCACATCTCTCCCAGTTTCTTTGCAACATCATACATGGATAGTCCAGGACGCTCGCCTTTGATTTTGGGATGATACTCTGAAAAAACCAAGAAGGAGGCCTCTTGAAGTTCAACATCCGTGAACTTCTTTTTTGTCTCCTCTTCAGGCGGGATATAGGTTTTCATTTCTGTTTCATAACGGGCCTTGTCTGCCTTTGCCATGTCTTTCAAGTTTCCTTTTTCGTTAGCAGACATAGTCTTCCACTACTCTGAGTACTTCTTAGAAAATTCTGAGAAGTTGACTGAAGCATCTGAGTGCTTTTTCTTGTGCTTAAAAAATGCATAGGACAACATTTTGCCTCAGCTTCTTAGGGTCTTTTTTTCCCCCATTCACGAGACACAAAGTGCAACTAGTGCCTTCTGACCCTGCCTGGCCCAGCTCTGCTTCCATGGAGCCTAAAGTACTGCAATAACTGTGAGAGCGGGAGTCAGACGCTTTACCGAACAACCTCCAGCATCATTTCTATCTCCAAGGCTATATTATCCAACTACTGGTCCTTCCTCTTTGTTTCCAATTTTTATATTCTAATCATTTGTAATTATCAATGTCTCTTGATTGCATGCTTGAACAATTTAAGGCTGAAGAAGTTGATAGAATTCGTCAGTTTCTTCATCATTGACTTTAGTGGTTGTGGGTAAATTGGAATAATAGTTGTATTAACTTATATTCCTTGTAAGGATATAGAATTTATTCTACTACAGACAGAAGTACTTGCAGATCTTGAAATATTCTTTTTGATAATGAATAGGACCACATTTCTCTTGAATTTGTCACTCCTAACCATGTCCTGGTGTGGCACTGTGGGCTAATGCATCAGACTGCAGTCGTTTGAACTGAAAGGTCGTGAACTTCAAGCTCACCAGCTGCTCCTTGGAAACCTTAAACAGGATAGCTATGGGTGAGAATTGACTTGACGGCACTTCACAACAACAACCATGGTAATTGTTCAATTCAAAATGCCCAACACCTGTTGATTCAGGTTCACTAATACATAGGATATCTATGTTTATGCATTCCATTTCATTTTTGATTGGTTCCAATTTTCTTAGATTCATACTTATTACATTCCACATAGTGTTATTAATGTTTACAACAGTATCTTCTCATTTGGAGTCATGCCCCATCCACAGATGAGCTCCTGAAAGCTGACATGGAATGAGGGACATCACTGCTGACAACAGGTGGATTTTGCCTAAAAGCAGAGAATACCAGAAAGATGCTTACTTGTCCTTTATTAGACTAGGCAAGAGCATTCAACTGTGTGCTTCATAACAAACTATAGATAACATTGTAAAGAATGGGAATTCCAGAACACTAAACTGTGGTCCTGAGGAACCTGAACATAGACTAAGAGACAGTCATTTGAGCAGAACAAGAGGGTATTGACTGTTTGAAAATCAGGAAATGTATGTGCCAGAGTTGTATCCTTTCACCATACTTATTCAATCTGTATGCTGAGTAAGTAATCCCAGAAACTGGATTATATGTAAAAGAACATGACATCAGGATTAGAGGACTATTCAGAAACAACCTGTGATGTGCAGATGGCACAACTTTGCTAAATGCTGAAAGTGAGGAGGACTTGAAATACTGATGAAGATCAAAGACTACATACAGCCTTCAGTATGAAGTGGACCTCAGTCTAAAGAAAACAAAAATCCTCACCACTGGGCCAATAAATAACACCATGATAAATGAAGAAACGATTGACGTTGTAAAACACTTCATTTTGCTTGGATCCATAATCAACACTCATGAAAGCAGGAGTCAAGAAATCAAACAATACATTTCATTAGGCAAATTTGCTGCAAAAGACCTCGTTAAAGCGTTAAAGAGCAAAGATATCAGTGTAAGCACTAAGGTAACCTGACCCAAGCCATGGTATTTTCAATCATCTGATTGAATTGCATATGAAAGTTGGACAATGAATAAAGAAGACCAGACAAGAATCAATGCATTTGAATTATGGTATTAGTGAAGAATATTGAAAGTAGCATGGACATCCAGAAGAACAAACAAATGTGTCTTGGAAGAACTACAGCCAGAATGCTCCTTAGAAGTGAGAATAGTGAGACTTTCTCTCTTGTACTCTGGAAATGGTATTAACTCCAGGAGAGGGCTCCAGGAAGGACCAATCCCTGGAGATGGACATTATGCTTGGTAAAATGAAGGCAGTAAAAAAGAGGAGCTCTGGTAGCGTAGTGATTATGAATTGGGCTGCGAACCACAAGGTCAGTAGTTCGAAACTACCAGCTATTCCACAGGAGAAAGATGAGGCGTTCTGCTCCCGTAAAGATTTACAGCATTGGAAACCCTGTACAGGGTCGCTATGAGTCGGAACCGACTCCACGGCACATAACAACAACAACAAAAAAGAGGAAGACCCTCAGGAGATGGACTGGCACCGTGGCAGTAACAATGCACTCAAACCTAGTAACAACTGTGAGGATGGCGCAGGACTAGGCAGTATTTCGTTTTGTTGTGCATAGAGTAGCTATGAATCAGAACTAACTCGATGGCACATAACAACAACATATACATTTATATTTGTCTTAGGGATGTATACTAAGAAGCTCTGGTAGCGTAGTGGTTCCAAATCAGGCTGCGAACCGAAAGGTCAGCAGTTCGAAACTACCAGCTGCTCTGTGGGAGAAAGATGAGGCTTTCTGCTCCCATAAAGATTTACAGCCTCAGAAACCCTGTTTAGGGTCAATATGGGTCGGAACCAATTCAACGGCACTTAACAACTATTAATAAGTAGTCTTCTCCTGCCTTAAGTCAATCACACCTGAAAAATCACACCAGGAATATCAAAGAAAACTTTTTGGGAATTGCACTCATTTCCTATACTGCTGTAACAAATCACCATAAATTTAGTGGTTTAAGACAACACACATTTATTATCTCACAGTTTCTATTTGTCATAAGTCCAGGTGAGCTTGAATCTATCCTGATTACAATTTCACAAGGTGGAAATCAAGGTTATTCTTTAATGCAATTTTCTTACCTGAAATAAACTTCCATGCTCTTTCAGATTGTTGTAACTGTAAGGCTGAGTTCCCTGTTTCTTTGCTGGCTATCTACAATCCTTTACATCCTTCCTGGTAATGAGTAGTGTCCCTCCCATGTTTTGAATCTCTCTGACAACCTCTTCTGCCCTCAACCAAGAGAAAATTGTGTTTAAGGGTTCATGTGACTCTTTTGAGTCTGTCTTGGTAATGCAGTATAATCTCCTAATCTAAATGTCCTTAAATTTAGTTACATCTGCAAAGTCTGCTATGCCATATAGCATAATGCAGTCACAAGCTCTTAGAATTAGGGTCATTTCTTCTACTATGGATAATCTTTCAAACAATCTTTTCTGTTTACTTATCCCTAAAAAAATCTGCATTTAATGAGTGTTAGGACTATTTTTCTCTTTCTAGGACATTCACTTGGCCAGGAGATTTTATGACATGGCTGCTCAAACAAGTCCAGATGCATACCTACCCGTCTTCTTTGCACTCATGAAACTGGAAACTGTGCATTTCCTCCGTGATATCCTGTTTTTTGATGTAAGTTTATCTCAAGTATGCCTCAAATCTCTGAAAGCTTCTATGGGCAATTCTTAGGGATAGAGTGAAGAGGCCTCTCGGGTAGTCTTTTGCAGATAAGTGTTCCTTTAGTAAGTAGTATTCAAAGCCTTATGCTTACCATATAGAGCAATTCTGCTTGTTATACTAAGTATGTGTTGATACTTCACAATATCATCAGTGAATGCATTCAGCAGATACTATGAACTGAGTGAATATTTTACAGAGGAGATCCTCAGTTTTACAGTCAACAAATCATACTTTGTTTCGTCTCAGTGACTGAAATAATCCCCTCCATGTAACATTTATCCTGCCTTCACTGTTTCTGTTTCCATTCCTTCTTCTTTTTGAACCCCTCTGAAGTATTTCCTTGGGTAAATGCTGCCCTTTTATCTCAAACAGTTGTCTGTTCTATTTGTTTGCACTCTTTACTAATGCTATTGCCCCTCTATATATCCATCTATACTTGGCTGAAAATTGAACCACTTGGGTAAGTTCATTTCCAGACCTGAAGAGTGACTGAGGACTATAGTCATGGGTTCCATCAGTCCCTAGCTGACCAGCAAGCCTGGTCTTTTTTATGATTCTGAGTTTTGTTCCTTATTTTCTCTTACTTGATTCATGACCTTCTAATGTGATCCCTTTCAGAGCATTGGTAGTGGTAACTGGGCCCATCTATTTCTTCTCATCTCAGGGTCATAGAGACTCAGAAGATATTTTTAAAGCACTTACTATGTTCAAAATCCTAAGCAAAATAACATGTACTATCTATACTTGTTCCAAGCATAGTTCTTGCTATCAAAAACCTGAGGCTGGTAAATAGATGACAGGTGACACGTGGTACCACAAAAAATTTAATTAGAAAACTATAGAAAATAAATTTTATGAATCTTTGCACTTAATCTAAAAGTGCCAGTATGCCCTCTGTGAGAACTGTAAGCAAGCAAAAACTCATATCTTCCAAGGGTGAGGGATGTAGTAAGGTTGAGGGGGAATCTGAGTGTTCTTAGGGATGAAGTGGGGGAGGAGATGGTGGTCTTGAAAGGGCAGAGTGGCTCAGAATTTCTTCTGACAGAGTGTCTCTTGCCTGCAGTTTACAATGAGATGGAAATGGGTGAAACTGGATAATGACCTTGGACCATACTGGGATTTATTTGTGATTGGCCTACTTGCCGTGTTGCTGATCATCTTGCTTAGAAATCGGCACGCATAGGATCTGGACCATGGGAAAACCTGCTCATGGGAATCAGTTCACTCCAAGACAGCCTCACTAAATAAAGAATTTCCTCATCCAAATCAAGCATCTGCTCCAGATTGCCTGCATAAGTCTATGGTGGAAAGTTAACAAAGTTTGAAACCTCAGAGAAACTACTTCAGACTTACTACTTGGTTGAGTTGATTACTCAGGAAGAGGTGGGAAACAGCCACCTAAGAATTAGTTACAACTTGTAATCTTAGTGATCTAGCTCTGAATTAGGAAAAAGCTATCACCCATTGTCAACAATGTTAGTTATAACAATAGTTCCCTTTGGAGGAGGACAAGCTGGGTTTCTTTGCTCCTGCCGACACACTGGGGAAGGGGGGAAGGAGGAGTATGGGAAGGGCAGGAAACAGACCCTTCAGAAGTTGATAAAGATAAAAATCACAGACAGATTCTTCATCTTGTGGGAATGATCCTGTGAGATACTTGTAGAGCTAAATAGTAGCCGCATTTCATGCCATGCTGTGCCTGGGATATTGACTTGAACTTGTCATAGAAGCCTTATATCAAAACTCCTTTAGTAGCTGTGTAGTAAAATATGCATTTCAGTCTGTCCGACACTGTACCCTTCTCCTTTGACCCTCATTGGAACCCTGTTCTCCTTGGTTAATTCTCCATTGGTCTATTCACAGAGAGAGAAGGTACCAACTTCCTGGGACAATGACTAAAGGGTGCAAATTCTCTCTCTTGCCCAACAGAAAAGGTGGTGTCTAAGGTTGGGGGCAGGGGCGGGGGCTGGTGGGAAGAGTGTAGAAGATCCACAACTAGGCATGAATCTGTTCCTTAGCTATTCTACCTCTCTGAACCTCAGTTCCCTTATTTGTAAAATGTAAAAATAATATATATCTTCTTGTCATTAGCTTCCACTGCGAGACCCGCAAATCACGGTGATCCCATGCACAATAGTTGCCCAATCCTGTGCCATTCATATGATCAGTTGTGGATTGGACCATTGTGTTCCATAGGTTTTCCCAGACTGATTTTTGGAAGCACATTTCTAGGCCATTGTTTACGACTCATCCTGTCTGGAAATGCCATTGAAACCTACCCAGCATCATAGTAACACAGAATCCACCACTGAAGATAGGTGGTGGATGCTCATGAGGTGCACTGCCAGGAACAGAACCCAGGCCTCCTACATGGAAGGGAAGAATTTTACGATTGAGCCACTACTGCCTCATAAGACCCATCTTAGAGAGCTGGTATGTGAATTCGGTAGGATGATGTATATAAAGGAACAGGACCTGGCAGTTAGGATGAGCTCCATAAATGACAACTTTAACACCCTTTAAAAACTCATAGAGTCTGAGGCAAGATGGCAAAGTAAGCAGATGCATTGAGCAAACCCTCAGCAATAAAGACATGGGAAATGAAGTGAAACAGACACAGATGGTGATCCTGGAACCCTGAATATCAGAGGATAGGGCAGAGAAGTGGAAGCTGAACAGGAGCAGTGAGAGAGAAAATAAGTGGGTGGACTGTGGGCTGGCTTGGGCAGTGCGGCCATCTTGAGTTTTTTGCAGCTGTTGATATAGTGTCTTGCAGGCACAGGATGCAGCTGGAGGCTGTTGGCAACTGGGTCCAATTTTCCCTAGTTCCCATGCTCTCCTGGTAACCAGGGGTGTAACCAGTCCCTGCCCTCACCAACCCAGCAGCCAGTGGGCACCCTTCCTGCACATCTCTGCTCTGCATGGGGGCTGGCAACTGGCATAGTGCCACTGCTTTTGGAAGCATGTGAACTCACCCTGAACTATGCTACCCAAACAGTGAACAGAGAATTAACTGCTTTCAAACTTCCAGTCTCTACCACATCCACCAGGAGACAGGCGGTGAGTGTCTGAGACCACATCAATATACAGTCATCAATATAAATATACATAAATATACATCAATAAACATAAATATAAATATGACACCACAATGTTACAGAGAAAAGAGACGATTTAGCTTACACAAAGAGACAAGACAGAATGCCTCAACAAGTGGCCAAAATACAGACTCAGAAAATATCATTCCTTGTCAGGTAGTTCTGGTACCAAAACTTGTACCAGAACTACCTGACAAGGAATTTTAAAGAATGCTAATTAACCATCTTCAACAGATTGCGGGAAAGATCGAGAAAACTACAGATGATATCAAGGAAAACAGACAAAACTATGGGAAAACTCAGGAAACAAAGGGACAAAACATTTTTTTTTTTTTTAAATGGGAACCGTATAAGAAACAGCAATTAGAAAGGTATAAGATTAACACCAAGACTTCAGAAATGGATTACACAATGAAAAGACAAAGAAAAAGAAAATTATATCAGTGGAAAGCTGACTTACTGAGCTTGAAGAAAAAAAACTCTCAATAATCACCCACTACAGGAACAATTTTAAAAAGGACAACAACAACAACAACAAAAACAAAGAATGCCTATGATTTATGTGGGACACTACCAAGAAGAATAACTTACATGTGATTGGAATTCTAGAACAGGAAGAGACAAAAAAAAGTAGAGAATATTGTCCAAGAGTTGTTGAAAGAAAACTTCCCTAACATCATGAAAGAAGCGAAGAGAGCCATTCAAGAAGTTGAATGAACTCCAAACAAGATTGACCCCTAGAGAGAAATACCAACACATATTATAATCTAACTTCAAACCCAAAGACAAGGAAAGAATCCTAAGAGCAGCTCTGGAAAAATGAAAAGTTATCTACAAAAGAAAATTTAAAAGACGAAGCTCTGATTTCTCAGTAGAAACTATACAAGCAAAAAGACAATCGTATGATACTTATAAAACTCTAAAAGAAACAAATTGCCAGCCAAGAATCATATATCTAGCAAAATTGTTCTTTAAATATGTCAGCAAAAGTAGGTCATTTTCAGACAAACATAAATTAAAAGAATTTGTAAAAACCAGACCAATCTTACAAAATACTAAAGGGAGTTCTTTGGACAGAGAACCAACAAATAAGACAAAAACCTAAGACTAACATATGTGACAAAATCTCCTAGACTCAACCAAGATATAGAAGCATGCAAAGTAAAGCAGATCTATAAGACTGAAAATAGAGAACTAAAGATACAGTTGCAATACACATGCATACACACACACAATAAAATAGAAAGAGGGATTAACATAGTTACAGAACTTCCATATGAAGAGAAAATCAAATAGATTTCAAGAAAAATAAATAAATAAAGATAAATAAACCTAATTGCAACCCTAAAAACTAGACCAGGACTTATTCCTTGTTAAATGCCTTTGAGTTGGTTCTAACTCATAGTGACCTTGTATAGTATTTCTGAGGAGTGACTGGTGAGTTTGAACTAGCAACCTTATGGTTAGCAGTCTAGTGTTTATCCTACAGTGCCACACCAGGACTCTAACTTCTAGTCCTAGCCCAACCTTTACCCTTAACACTCACCATAGTCCTAACCATAACATTTACATTAAACAAAGTCCTAGGCCTAGCCTGCAGTCCTGGTGTAATGCTGTAGCTGCTTACCAGAGGTAATTCACACCCATCTGCCACTCCTCAGAAACCCTATATGACCCTTACTCCTTAATACCTCCCACTCACGCCACACAGCTGAAAAAAATAACTCCTAGCAAACCAGAGGGGTATGGTAACAGTTGAGTTGATAATGATCTAGGTGGCATCCACATTCTGCAGTTCATCCTCCAGTTAAAACGCTGAATGTTTCAGAAGGAACTAATCCTGCTTGTGTACTCAAAAACTCCAACCTAAGGAGTCCTGGTGTGGTACTGTGGGTTAATGAGCCAGACTGCAAAGTAGATTGAACGGCAAGTTTGGTGGTTCAGGTTCACCAGCTGCTCCTTGGAAACCTTATACAGGATTGCTATAGTTCGGAATCGACTCGACGGCACTTAACAACAACAACAACAAAGGACGGGAAGACATCCAATTTCTAATATTAATCATAATCAGAAAATAAAACAAAATGATGGGGAAGTTCTGAATTTGGAACCAAACAGGCTGGATTTGAAGTATAACTTTGTCCCTTAGTACTGTGACATGGGAAAATTCAATAACTTTTCAGGTCTCATGTCTTCCTCCATAAAATGGGATTCATGCCTACCTTGCTAGGGAACTGTGAAGTTCAAATAAGCCTAACTTATAAAGTACTTTATAACTGCTGATGGAGCAGAACTCAAAATGCAGACAAACAGCTGTAAACATCCATTGAAACCGGAACGCAGAATGTACCAAGTATGAATCTGGGAAAATTGGAAGCTGTCAAAAATGAAATGGAATGCAAAAACATTGATATCTTAGGCATTAATGAGCTGAAATGGACTGGTATTGGCCATTTTGAATCTGAAAACCACATGGTATACTACGCCGGGAATGACAAATTAAAGAGGAAAGGTGTTGCATTCATTGTCAAAAAGAACATATCCAGATCAGTCATGAGGTACAACACTGTCTGTGATAGGTTAATATCCATGTGCCTACAGGAAAGCACCGTTAATACCACTATTATTCAAATTTACGCACCAACAACTAAAGTCAGTGAGGATGAAATAGAAGAATTCTACCAACTTCTTCAAACTGAAATCAATAAAACACACAATCAAGATGTATTGATCGCCCGGAAAAAGATGGCGGATCGGGTGGAAGTGTAGTGACGAGCTCTGCCAAGAACAACACAGAATACAGGACCAAGAAGGTTCAGGGAATAGTCCCAGTGCTCTGAACCACATATAAAGGAATATCTAGAAGGTTGGTAGACTTACAGCTGGGGAGCTTGTGGCAGAAGAAATAAATCAATTGCTTCCTGGTTCGGGACTCTCAGCTGCTCCAGGAGTCACCATTTTGTGAGGGGCCAAGCGGGGAAAGGATCAGAGCAGCCACGGACGCCTGACAGAGCCGCAGAGATAGAGGTGTGGACATTCTTTTTTTTCTTTTTTTTTGGTATCTTTTCGTTGGTCCCTTGCTAT